ACAGGGACACAGAATTTCCCTCTCAATTTGCTCAACTGCTCTGCAGCCCAGCAAGAAAAGAAATAAAAACAAAGATGCTGGGTTTTGGTATCAATAGTGGCCTCTAAAATTACATTCAACATCAAGTTGTGTAAATTTAATTAAGCTTTTAAGCAGCATTTTAATTGTTCTTCATTTCAACACTGCCTTTGGTGGTGTTGTAGCAGAATTCTCCTCGCTAAGATCTAAAATCCTTAAAGATGGACATGACCATCCATTATTCACATAGCAGAGCTTTCAGTTGAATTGAAAATATAATAAAATTCCAGTTCTGCTCATGTTTTGTTGGCTTTTTTAAATTCACACAGCAAGACTGTGGTTTTAAGGTCCATGAATTGGAAATCAAAACTTCAAAATGTGAATTCTGAGGAGGAAAAGAAAAAAAATTCCAACCCACCCCTCAGGAACAGCTTCAAATTCCACTGCAAAAGGCACCAAGCCTCAAAGAGTGGAGAGGAACATCTTAAATTCTTAATAATCACATTTATATCAATCAGCAGCATAGGTTTGATGGGATTATTAACAGCATCTCAATAATGATGCAGAAAAACACAGATTGCCAAGGAATTCAGGCAAAGGCAAAGTCAGGAGAAGCTATTTGTTCACAGAATAAAATTTAGAATTTTATTTGATGCCCAAAACGACCAGAAAACAAGTTTGGTGAAAATTCTGATAAAAGATGGAAGTGGCACCAAGGGAATCCCACAGAATAGGGGACAGCTCTGCTGGAAATTGAAGAACTCCCCAAACCAGCACTTAAAACTGAAAGAATTCTTCAATTACCCAAAAAAAAACCCAAAAACCTCAGTTCCATTTTTTCTTAATGAAGTAGAAAATACAGAGCAAACTTAAATATTATTTTTTTACTCATAAGCAAAGGAAGCTTGGAGTTCCTGAAATTAATTAGAAAAATCTGAGCAGGTGAGGGGAAACAGCAGTTTTTAAACACTTGAGCTGATAAGTCTTAGCAATGGTAAAATAATTTCTCATTATTTTTGGATCTGCTAACAAGACCTTGAGCTTGCTTGATCATTAATTGACTCATTCAGGTATTTTTATCATAGGGAACTCTAAGAAAATAATCCCAAAAATTGCTTGCTGGCAATACAATTAAGGATTTCCTCAAATAATTTACAATTTTGGTATCTCCTGGCTCTCTGGGAAAGCAAGGAGGCCTCTAGAGAACAGATGGATGGAAAAACAAAATAATTTGTGAGAAAGCTAAGCTCTAACACAGTAATTATTTGTTTTAAAGTGCTCTCTCTTCATTAGGAACTGTACACACAAGCTGCAAATTCCTTTTGCACAAGAGTCTGGAATTTTATCATTGCCTAAAGGGAAAGACATTAAAACAACGACTACACACAGCAAAGCTACCATTAAAATATGTGAATAAAACAATAAAAATCACATGAAACCACATTAAAATGAATACAGTTTAGGAATAAAACAATTTATTAATAGAATTTATTATTTAAATTTTAAAAACTAATTGTGGTATAAACTTTAACTGAAGATTATACAGTTAAAATATCTTAACTTGATAGACTGCAACCCTGGAATATGCCACTAGATGGCAAGTTTGGATAGAAATTAGCTGAATTTTAATTCATGACACGTTTGAAAAGTCCAAAGGCATTGGATAGAAACAATCATGAAAAAAAAAAAAGTGAAAGAGGAGAATAAAAATAGGAAGAATTCAATAAACAAGTCTTGTGTCTGGAGCACATTTAATAGAAGCCAAAAAGGTTAAACTGGTTTTAGTTTTGTTTCCACATTGCCACACAAATGGAGAATCAACTCACACACAATTTTGAAGTTATGTTTTAAAGAAAAACAAGTGAAAATCACAACTGAAATTGTTTTTTTAAAAGAAAAACAAATGAAAATCACAACTGAAATTGTTTTTTTTTAAAGAAAAACAAGTGAAAATCACAAGTGAAATTTTTTTTTAAGAAAAACAAGTGAAAATCACAAGTGAAATTGTTTTTTTTAAAGAAAAACAAGTGAAAAACAAGAGTTTCTATATTCCTCACAATTCTTCAGAGCAGTATCTCACATGGAGGAATGCAGCACTGAGAGCTGACATTTAGATTACAAATACTCCCAGGAAATATTACAACATCCTCAGGAATCAGGGTTTTCCCTGTGCCTTCCCTATTCCCTGCACTCTGCTCTTCACCATTTCCATTTTCTCTTTTGTTGCCAGCCCGTGCAAAATGTTTCATCTTGATTGAAAAGAAAAATGAATCCTGTCTTTTAAAGCAGTTCTTTCTGTGGCTCACTACAGCCTTCAAAAGCAACAGCATTAAAAAGTTCTAAACAGAAATACAGCAAATAGAATAAAATTAACCCTGCACAATTCCCCTCTGGTGAAATTCAGAACACCTTCTACCAGGGAACAAAGCAATGATGGATTAAAAATGAAACTTTTGCTTACCTGAAATATCTGTTGAAAACTCTTCAAATAAAAATATCAAGGTTTAAGAGAACACTGATTTTCCCTGGCAGGGTAAATCCCAGCTTACCTCATCTGGAGAGAGCAGATAAATGGGTGTTAATTCAGGAATTGCACTCAATTCACAGCTCAGCCCAAGGCAGGTCAGGATCTCCCTGAGAACTTCATATCTCTTGGAATTGCTCATTTTGAGCAAATTAAAATCCTCTTCAGTTTGCACATCCATGGAATTGATGTCCAGCTCCAAATGGGCCTGGCAGGATATATAAAAAAAGAAAATCAGTTTCCAATTCAGGGATCACAGCTGTCAATACACCACAATTTCCTCTGAAACCTACCTAAAACTTCCCTTCTTAATAAACTTTTTTTGGAGGAGTTGATCAAACTTGTATTTATCAACTTAAATTTATTTAACTTCCTGCTTTTCAGGTCTGCCAGAACCAACAGCAAGGTTGGTCATATTCTGACTTGTACATGAGCAGAATTCCATTACAATTAAAAAGGCATTGAAATTGGCATTCCATTAGAACTGAAATTCCATTAAAGTTGAAATTCCTTTAAAATTCTATTAAAATTGAAAGAGCTTTTTAGAAGTTTTAGAAGGTATGGAGAGCTCAAGCAAGTCACATGAATTCAGTGGAAATGAGTGCAGATAAAGAAACCCTTCTGCCTAAAAAAGTTACTTGCTCACCTGGTGGAAAATCACTCCTCATGGTTGAAGCAGATGCTTAGAAGTTGAAATTAAATGCAAGAGGAAAAAATCCTTCATAGACCTTGTTTTTTACTATTTTTTTTTCTGCTTTGCCTTTTGTGTTACAAAATATTTCAAAGCCCTTGAATGTTAAAACCCTGGTTTTACTGAGAATTTGGGACTTTCTGTGCTGCCAGCACTGACCCCCAGGAGAACACTGCACTGACCTGAGGCC